TAAGTAGCTGGAAAAAGAAGGAGTACTTTAATGGCTATTTCAGATAATTTTAGGTATTTTTCTCTGATTTTATACCAAAATTTAGTCAGTGGTAGTTTCTTTACATTTAGTTATAATACCAAATCTGAAAGTATATTAGCAACATTTTTGTACTTGTTCAATTAAATCCATGGGTCTATCTTACATGTTGTTTTTTGGTTGCTTTTTTTTTTACTATCTTGCATGTTGAATGGATCTTTTACCTACACATGATTGTGTAACATATTGCATTGGCCTTTTGGAAAATAATGATTTACTAAATTTTGTAGATTTAAAGGGCTGCAAGTTTACATTTCATTACACAATGTTTTCTAAAATCACATTTATTAATCTCACCACCAATTTTATCAGAAAAGCCTATTTGGAGACCATCAAGCTTCCAGTGACATACACAAAAGTTTTCCAAAAGTCTCATTTACACTTAAAAGTTCAATTTTATCATTGGTAAAAATATATATAAGCTATATTCCCATTGAAGTAAAAGGACCACTTCATTCATGGGTTCCATTGTTTGTTGGTTTGTTCTTAATGTCTGCTAATACCCAAATCTGAATGGTAACAGTTTGCCTGGCGGTCATTCTTGCAAGTAAAAGTGGTGTTGACATGTGCAGTTCTCAGTGCTAAGCATCAAGACAACCTTCTCACTTCTGTATACAGCAAAACTACTTTGTTACTAATAAGGTGAATCATTTCGACTTCTTTATCAAGGGCATTCTTGAGTGACATTGGCTCTGGGATTTTTTGTTAGTTTGCTTGCTTTTCTGTTTTGTTTTTCTGCCATTGCCTCCATTGATAGTGAAGAATATGATGACTGGCTGCTAACGCCATTTGGGCATTAATTGCCTGCTCAGGCACCAGCAGTTTTACCCATCATACCTCCTATTGCTTTTGTACCATCAATGCAAATGGCAATACATGGGCAAAAAGACAAATACCACATCAGTATTATGATGAAACTTGTTTTACTTTTCAGATTCCTTTAAAGGGTCTCATAGACACACACGTACACAGGACACGATGGACACTGTGCTTTGAGGACTGTGCCCAAGGGAGGAAAAAAAAGTTAAATTTTAAAAATCAAAATGTTATGGCAATCAAATAGGATTATCCTTAAAAGGCCATATCCAATTTACAAGATACATTTTAGTGTGCCGTTTTAGCTATCAAAATGATTGATAAATCACATCACATAATGCAGAACACTTCCTTCTTCATTAATGTAAAATTACCACAATCACAATTGTATTAAATGGCATGTTTTATTGTTTTTCTAATTGTACTTAAGGGCTTGCCATATGGTTCCAAATACAAATTGGTAGCTATTTACTTATAAAAAGTATATCTATTTTTTGTTGTTTGTTATTTCTACTTAGCTATTTAAAAAGCTAAGTATAGTTATAATCTTTTAGATATAGTATCTAGAGTTATTATTAGCCAGTCACCTAGTGATTAACATACCTGAACACTCAGAGATTGTCTCATGTTGAGCAAAGTCCAGATCTTCATCTGACTCCTCCTCAGCAAACTCTATTGTCTCCAAGTACTTTTCCCCTTCATCATCGTTACTGTTCCGACTTTCCTCTCTGTTGCTACTTTCCTCCTTGCTTTCCATGTGACCCTCTTTACCCGAGGTCAACTTGATCGCAGTGTCAACCTAAAAATAATTTCCAAAGAAACAGTTTCCAAATACTATCTTTTTAAAAACTTTAAATTTCAATGCTAATGGAAGAGTGATGCTGGAGGAGAAGCACTCAACCTCACGGTCTATTTGAGATGCAAGGTTGATGGTACAAACTCACCAGCTGCTCCTTGAAAACCCTATACAGGGTCGCTATGAGTCAGAACCGACTCAATGGCACTTAACAGCAACAACAAAGGAAGTATACGTGGGAACATACATACATACACACAACAACAGTAGAGTATTCTAGAAACCTAACATTCTTTTAATTAAATGTCATCTAACTAAACAATTCACTTTAATAACCTTTGCACCAAAGGTTAAACAACCGTGCCCCAGCACTCTGCTCTATGTATCCAGCAATAATGGAGAAGGGTCGGTTCTCAGTCCAAAAGAGAAGTGTTAGCTGACAGGCTCTGGAGATGGCGCAGTGAACAAGGCCCTCTTGGTCCTTGCTCCCTGAGCTTACACTCAGATGGAGCGTCAAAGCTGTCGTATCCAACACAAGGGCCACTAGTCATGTGTGGCTACTGAGCAGCTGGTAGGTAGCTAGTTTGAAATGAACTGAAGACTCCTGAAATCGGAATCATGTCCTTTGGTAATCCATCTGTTTTCAAGCTATTTCACGATTTCTCTATTTCATTTTGATTTGCCAGTATATTCTACCAAAAGACTTTGATAACTAAGCCAGGAAAAAAAAAAAAAAAAAGGGACCCACAGGGCCCTGAGGGCAGTCCATGGCAGTGAAAGTCATAAGAAAAAGTTAGCAGCTGAGTGCTTAACTGTTGCATCACCAGGGATCCTTTATAATATAGGCATTAGTATCTTAATTTTACAGAGGAGAAAACAGATGCAGTATAGAATGAACTCCAACTAGTAGCTGGATGTCCAACTTAGAATCAAGCTAAACTACTTTATCTAAGCGTAGAGATTTTGAGGAGAATTTTCTGTTTAAACACATGCTTTTGTCAGAGGCTGGGTAATGGCTGAAATTCCACAACAACCAGTAAGTCACTAAAGCCATATCGTTCTGTGAAGATGCTAAAATTGCTGGAAGAAGTCACATGAGCCCTGTCATTCATTTATATCTTGACACAAATGAAATTAGAAGACCTTTCCTTGGAAATGGATTCATGTAGGGGGGAATATAGTACACACAAAAGATGACTAGATATTAGCAACATACTTACAGGGCAAACTCCAGGGTACACAAAGCCCTTTGGGAACATATAACACCCCCTATGATTCCAACCATACAATGAACAGGAAGCAATGAAGCAAAAGACGAAACCAGGGAACTAAAGGCAAACTTTGCCTATTTCACAAGTCTTCCCATGGCTCCCCACCCCACTAGCTACCAACCAACTCCCTCACCCCACACTCCGTGGCCTCTCAGTACCTAACCTTCCTGCACTTCCTACCCTGTGGCCTGTGTGTGTGGCTTTTCTTTCTTCTTCATTCTCAAGCCTGCATTCCATCTTCATTTCTCAGGGCTCCACGTCTGTCACTCCATACCTTCATGTTAGTCCCAGGAAAGGACACTCTAAACAAACTCTTTCCTGACAATTTGCTTTCCCACCTGTAACTCAAGGGACATTTTGTATGAATTAAAACTATTGGCACTTTCCAGAAAAACATTCACAAGGAGGACAGCAGTAATGCCTAGCTTATAGGGATCTGACTATATATTACCTACTGCCATTGAGTTGATTCCAACTCATAGCACCCCTAATCTATGAGCATTCCTATATAAGGTTTCTGAAGCTGTACGTCTTTATGGGGACAGTCTTTCTCCCATGGAGTGGCTGGTGAGTTTGAACTGCCAACCTTGTGGCTAGCAGTCCAGCATTTATCCTACTGTATCATCAGAACTACTTACCTGGATTACCCATTTAGATACACCTGCAGAGTTTGAAAGCAGAAGTGAGGCAGAAGCCACCTTGCTGAGCCTCCTGCTAGCAACTGGCCAGAAATAATCAAAGGTAGCCCTCTTTACATAGTTAGTCACCAGTTTTGTGGCTCTCAGGGACTTGTGGCATCCAGTAGAAACCCCATCCCACAATTTTCTTTCCTACAAGCCTTGCAAAGGTTTTGTAGGAAACAGATTCTTGTATTCAATTCCTTTCTGCAGGAATGTCTGTGCAGTTGTTTCTGTTTCCTGAACTAAATCATTACACATGAAAACTCCAAAAGTTTCATAATGCAGAGTCTAGTCCACAAATCAAAAGAATGAGTATGGATTCATAATTTTGCAAATATTTTCCTCACCATTAGATTCAAAATTATTATATTCCACAACCTTAAAAAGTACAAATCGTCCCATCACAGATGAGAAAAAATGATTCTTTAAAAAAAAAAAAAATCAAGTTTAGATATTTTAAGAAAAGGAAAAGAGGCCACTAAAAACAAAGAAAGGAAAGAATCATGGCCAACCATCATATCAAGCATGTGGTTGTTGTTGTTAAGTGCTGTCAAGTTAGTTCTGACTCATACTGACCCTATGCACAACAGAATGAAACATTGCAGGTACCTGTGCCATCGTCACAATTTGTTGTCACACTTGAGCCTATTGTCGCTGCCACTGTGCCAATGCATCTTGCTGGGCATCTTCCCTTTTTCATTGACCCTCCACTTGACCAAGCATATACCACATGATCTTTGAACCAAACCAATTTTTTTTTTTAATATGGAATATTTTTCACAGTAAGAATCAATGGTGACATACTAGAACACAATGCTTTCTTATGATAAAGAAAAAAAAAAGTTGACAAATAAGCTTTAATAAAGTACAATTATGAATAAGCCACAAAGAGAAAGGAAGGAAGGAAACAAAGAAGAAAAGAAGAGAAGGAAGGAGAGAAAAAATATTCTCATATGAGATGGTTGACAGTAAAATCCAAGGAATCTATGAGCATTCCCTGAGCACTCTCATTAAAATAAACCTTAAAATTGGATCTTAACAACAACAGTCTTGGCTTCATCAATTGCAGAGCGGTCAGGGGAAAGAGTTTAAATGATTTCTAATCAGTAAATTACCTTGAAGGACCCTGGTTCCGGTGAAAGAACCTCTAAAGAAGCATTTGAACCTCTGCTCCCAGGACGTGTTCTTGAATTTGAGGCTGGTTTTGAAATACTATCTAAGTTTCCCTTTATAATATCCATTGATGCCCTACAAACCAAAAATAAAATAAAATCAAGTGGTAGCATTGGTATTTAAATGCTTCATTAGTTCATTAATGCTACTATGCAGTTAACTCAGAGACTTTGTTATAAAGATTACATTGTTTCTAACGGGACACTGATGGGGGGCCTCTGTCTCTTAACCAAGAACCATGCTTCTTGGTTTCTGCTGTTAAGTGCTGTTGCTTCAGTTCCAACTCACAGGCTGTATGTTGTTTGCTTCCATGTAGCTTACAGTCTATATCAGGCAAAAGTATAGGACAGGCGTCAACTACAACGGGATGCTAGGGGACCTGGGCAAAGTGATGAAACTGTTCTTCCTGTATCTTGATTGTGGTGATAATTACAAAATTACACACGCTTTTCAGAACTAAAAAGGAAGAATTTCATCATATACTAATTATACTTGAATTTTAAGTTAACATCTTTGTACAGCCCTTTGTTGAGTTATGTTATTGTGGTTGTTAGGAGCCATCAAGTCACTTGTCATTCTGACTCATAGTGACCCTACACAACATAACAAAATACCTCCCAGTCCTGCATCAGCCTCACAAATGAGCCATCCTTGTTAATGGATCTTACTGCCGCTGTCACTATATCAGTCCATCTTGTTGAGGGTCTTCCGCTTTTACGTTGACCCTCCACTTTACCAAGCATCATGGTTTTTTCCAGAGACTGGTCCCTCCTAACAACATATCCAAAGAAAGAGAGGTAAGTCTCACTATCCTCACTTCTAAGGAGCATCCAGCTGTGCTTCTTCCAAGACAGATTTGTTCTTCAGGCAGTTCATCGTGCTTTCAATATTCTTCACCAACACCAAATTAAAATGCATCATCAATCCTTCTCTGATCCTACTTATTCACTGTCCAACTTTTGTATGCATATGAGGTCAATGAAATACCATGGCTTGGGGTCTAAGGCGAATGTTAGTCCTCAAACTGATATCTTTGCTCTTAAACATTTTAAGGAGGTCTTGTACAGCAGATTTGATTTATTATCTGCTGCTTCCATGAATGATGATTGTAGTTCCAAGCAAATTCAAGTCTTTGACAACTTCAGTCTTTTATGTGATCTTATTGACTGGTCCATTTGTGAGAATTTTTGTTTTCTTTACATTGAGGCGCAATCCATAATGAAGGCTGTAGTCTTTGATCTTCATCAGTAAATATTCCAAATCCTCTTCACTTCCAGCAGGCGAGGTTATGTCATCTGAATATCATAGCTTGTTAATGAATCTTCCTCCCATCCTGATTTCATGTTCTTCTTCATACAACTCAACTTCTCAGATTGTTTTCTCAACATACAGATTGAATAATTATGGTGAAAGGATACAACCCTGATATACAAGTTTCCTGATTTTAAACCATTCAGTATCCCTTTGTTCTGTTCAGAAGACTGACTCTTGAGCTCAATTAAGTGTTCTGGAATAACCATTCTGCACAGTATTAGCCACAGTTTGTCATGATCCACACAATCGAAAGTCTTTACATAGTCAATAAAGCACAAGTAAACATCTTTCTGGTATTCTCTGCTTTCAGTCAAGATCTATTTGAAGTCAGCAATGATATATTTCATTCCATATACTCTTTTGAATCAGGCTTGAATATCTGGCAGCTCCCTGTCGATGTACTGCTACCACCACTTCAGAATTATCTTCAGCTAAATTTTACTTGATTTTGATATTAATGATATTGTTCAAAGATTTCTGCATTCTGTTGGGTTGCCCTTCTTTGGAATGGGCACAAATATGGATCTCTTCCAATCGGTTTGCCAGGTAGCTGTCTTCCAAATTTCTTAGCAGAGATGAGTAATTGCCTCTAGAACTACATCAGTTTGTTGAAACATGTCCATTTGCATTTTGCAAATTCCTGGAGCCTTGTGGTTTTTTTGCCAGTGCGTTTAGTGCAGCTTAGTCGTCTTCTTCAGTACCATCAATTCTCAATCATATGCTACCTTTGAAACTGTTGAGCACTGATCGATGCTTTTGATACAGTGATTCTGTATATTCTTTCCATCTTCTTTTGATGTTTTCTGCATCATTCAACATTTCCCCCATGTTGTTGTTGTTGCTGTTATGTGCCGTGGAGTAGGTTCCGACTCATAGCAACACTGTACAGGGTTTCTGAGGCTGCAAATCTTTACAGGAGCAGAAAGCCTCCTTTTGCTCCCACGGATTTCGAACTGCTGACCCTGAGGTTAACAGCCTGATTCGTAACCATTACAATATTGCAAGTCAAGGCTTGAATTTTTTTCCTCAGTTTTTCCAGCTTGAGAAATGCTGAGCATGTTCTTCCCTTTTGATTTTCTAACTCCAGGTCTTTGTACATTTCATTTTAATACTTTGTCTTCTCAAGCTGCCTTTTGAAATTTCCAGTTCAGCTCTTTTACATCCTCATTCCTTCCATTTGCTTTAGCTTCTTTTACTTTCAAGAGCAAGTTTGAGTCTCTTCTGAAATTTAGGTCATTTCTTTATTTCCTGTCTTTTTACTGACCTTTTGCTTTCTGCGTGTAAGATGTTCTTGATGTCATCCTACAGCTCATTTGATATTCAATCATAATGTCTAAAGTATGAAATCTGATCTTAAGATGCTTTCTAAATTCAGGTGGGATATATTTGAGGTCACATGTTGGCTTTCGTGGACTTGTTTTGATTTTCTTCAGCTTCAGTCTGAATTTGCATATGAGCAACTAATAGTCTGGTCCACAGTCTGCCTCTGGCCTTGTCTTGCTTGATGATATTGAGGATCACCACTGTCTCTTCCCACATATGTAGTCGATTTGATTTCTGTGTAGTCTATCTGGTGAGGTCCATGTGTATGTTGTTGTTGTTAAAGAAAGGTTTTTGCAATGAATAAGCCAGTGGTCTTGCAAAAGTCTATCATGTGATCTACAGCATCATTTCTATCATGAAGAACATACTTAACATCAAGTGATCCTTCCTCTGTTTCCAACTTTCATATTCCAGTCACCAGTACTTATCAGTGCATGCTGATTGCATGTTTCATCAATTTCAGAGTGAAAAAGCTGGTAGAAATGAATTTCTTCAATTTCATTATCACTGGCTTAAGTGATTGGTGTGTAAATTTGAATGATATTAGCATTAACTAGTCTTCCTTCTTGTTGTTGTTAATATTATCCTATAAAAAATAGAAATTTACTTCAAGATAGATATTGAAGTGCTCTTTTTAAAGATGAATGTGACACCACTCTTCAATTTGTCCTTCCAGCATAGTAAACCATATGATTCAAAATAGCCAATACAGGTCCATTTCAGCTCACTAATGTGTTCTGCTGCTATTAATAAGGTTTTCAATGGCTGACCCTTCAGAAGTGGTCTGCCTCTCTGAAGTTATGTTTATGTTGTTGTTGATGTTAGTGCCATTGAGTTGGTTCAGACTCATAGCGACCTGTATAGGGTTCCCAAGGGGCAGCTGGTGAACTTGAACCGTCAACCTTACAGTTCAGACTGACATTGCAGTCCAGTACATTACCCCACAGCACCACACCATCCATAAAATAAATGAGAATTGTTGAATCAAAGAACACTTGTACTTCAAATTTTGGTTGTGACCCACATTGTCCTCCAAAGGGAATATATCAAATAAACACTCCTTCCAGGGGTCACTGTTGTTGGGTGGAGCCCACCAGTCACCCAGCAGGAGAAAGATGAGGCTCGCTGTTCCCACAAAGAGGTACAGCCTCAGAAACTCGACGTTATGAGTCTAAACAGACTGGAGGGCACTTAACAACAACCACTACCAATGGTCACTGAATCCAAATGGACTCTAGGGTAGTGGGTTTAAGATTGGGTGTTTTGGTTTATCAACATTGTATGATGAGAGTGCCTGTTTCCCGCAGGTACCTCAGGTCAGTAGTTATCAAAGTTTTTTTCACCTTTGCCAACCTGATAGGTGTTAAACGGTATCTGTGGATTTTAACTATATTCATAAGACAGGTTGAATCTCTAGTCAAACATCTATTGGCCATCTCTCTCCTCCCCCTTCCTGGTGTGTGTGTGTGTGTGTGTGTGTGTGTGTGTGTGTGTGTGTGTTGTATACTACCTGTATACTACCTTCTGCTGTTCACGGTCCATTTTTATTGCTGATGGTTACTTTGATGTAAATTCCAGATCTTAGGGGTTAGAAGGCACGGAAAGGTGAGTATCCCTAACTACTATGACCTAATGTCAGGAACGTTTGCAGGAGGATCCGGGCAAGCTCTGGTGCAACAATCTTAGCCAAGCGAGTGCCTTCCCGGGCCCCGCCGCGCCCCGCCCCCACGTCCCCTCAGTGTAGCCCGGTGGGCTCCCACCTAAGGCTAGAGGAGCCCCCCCAGCCGAGTCCGCCTTTAGGGACCGCCCAGCACGGCCCACCCGGTCCTCTCATTGGCTCTGTGCACTTTCACTACAGCCCGTCTCCAAGCCAAGACTTCCGGCAAGACTCCGCCCCGCCCACTCATTGGCTCCTTGTGCGCCGATGGGGCCCGCCCCTGTCCTGTGCAGTCCTTCACCTTCCCTGAGGGGACTCACGGAGGAAGTCGCCGGTCGGCAGTGCACCAACGGGGGCAGAAACACACTGCTGACACTGACAGCGTCACCCACTTCCTCCCAAAGAGGAGGGTTCTTTCCCGCCACCGCAGCCTCTGTGTAAGTGGCAGAAGCTGCCAGTCTAATGCCCTCCTGTTTCCAGCAACTCTGTTCCCTTGGCAACCTGAACGACGCTTCCAGTCTCGCGATAAAAGAAAAAGGCTGTACCATCCAGATATTAGAAACGGGGGTCGGAGATAGGGAGACGCTGGGATGACCTTACTGTTTTCGCTGCCGGGCACTGTAGATGGAGAATGGTTGTTCCTGATTCGGTCGAATGAAGAAGAAGAAAGTTTAGTTGCGTGTATTTCTGTCCCTTACTATTAATATGATGTCCTCCTAATCATCTAGCTTTTCTGATCCTCAGTTTTCTTTTTTGGAAAAAGGAATATATATA